TGTTGACTAAAGGACAACGAAACTGTTTCTCCTTTCTCTCCAGGGAGAAAACCTCTGTCAGATTTTGGATGCTTATTCAAAACTGTAGTCAAGATTTTCATAAAGCTTTTTAAAAGCACTTCATTCTTTTCCTGCTACCTCTGAAGGCTTCCAGCATGTTATTGCTCTTCCTGCTTGGAAAATGTAAAAAAGGACTTGGAGAGAGGAGACATTCACACATTCCCTGTCTCTGGAACGACATTGACTGTGTTTCTCCTCTTTGTAAAGCACCTAAAGTTTAGCAGTGATAAGTGTTATTTAAGTTGTTATTACTGTAGAGTCACTCTGAAGTGAGACTCGGTTATATGACTGTCTTCATGCTGCTGCTGTTCCCAATTCTTGGTAGCAGTGCAGATGTTTCTGCGCTCCTAGCCCTGAAGCAGTAGTGACGGCAGCTTGCCAGCCTGCCCTGGAGGTGACATCATGGGGCTGCATGACAGCCTTAGGTCCTCTGCTGCAGTTAACAGCTGGAAAGGCTCCCACAAGCTCTTTTGCACAGCACAGGGGACTGATAGAGTGCCTGTAGTCCTGAGAGCAGCAAGCTGATAGGGCGCACCACTTTTGTTTGCTGGAGTGGTGAGTGCAGAACCAGATTAAACAGACTATTTAGGCTTCTTACTTTCCAGTGAAGTCTGTAGGAGTTAGGACTAAATACTTTTACTGAACCCAGCCTTCAAGACCTACTAAAGCCAAGTGCTTGATGCATGTATTTAACAGAATTCCATCCCTCTGGCACAGGATGAAGTCAGCACATTTAAACACATGCTTAAAGTTAAATCCATTTACTGCTGCGGTAACAAGCATGCATGCTACCCACCTCCCTCTCCCTATAAATCAACGGTGCATAAATGCGCTCATGTGCTGTGGCTGACGAATTAATTAGATGCACCTAATACTTCGTTCATCACTCCTGAACATCAGCAGTCAAAGCTTTTGAGGGTCCGTGCGCTTTGGGGTTGTTATTCCAGCTTACCTTTCTGGAATAGCTAATGTATGCTGCAAACGCCAGCACAGTAAAGTAAGAAACTAGGAAATAGAGTCTTAAACAAAAATAAGATGATTGGAAAAAACGAACCAAACCAAACCCAAACACAACAAAAACTGCCCATCTGGTGCACAGTAGCATTTCTTGGAAAACCCTCAGAAATAAGCCATAGGTCCATTGAAATGCCAATGAACTGATTTATGTTTGTTTCTATGTTAGAAGCATCAAGGATGTCTAAAATTAAATAGGGGGCTTAAAATCACAGATTCTGTCTTAGCTGCGTCTCTCGGCATGATTGCATACATGCTTCCTGGGGCGAAATTTTAGGAGCTTGGTCTTAGGCAGCAACCTCAGTAGGCAATAGCAAAAGAACTCTGGAGGATGAGTCATTTCCTCTGTGCCATGACCACCACTGGAGCGGTCATTCCTGTTCCCTGACTGTTAAAGGAATGTGCATGCACCTGGTTTCTACTAACCTTTTTGTTAGATAGGATCTTCCCAGGGATTGTGTGCATGCCTTAAACGAGTGTGTTCCTTTGTGGGACAGCACATGTCTGAATGTTCGTGGGTAGATTTAAGGAAATAGCCCATGCCACTTACTGGATCAGACCCTGCCATCCCTCCCCTCTTCTCTCTAGGAGTACCTATAGTCCAAGAGGTGGGCCAGGTTTCTGTCTTGTCACAAAAGGATTCCCCCACTCACAGTCTGGCTTCTCACAGCCCGTAACGGTTCCACAATAACTGCTGAATGAAAGCATATATATATATATGTATGTATAGTGTGTGTATACACACACACACACACCCCCGGTGTACAAGGAAAAGCCTCTAATGTGTCCTGCTTCAGATTTCTTGTTATCTTTCTATTTCACAGTATCTTCCAGAGGTCACTTTTCATTGTACTTCAACTGCCAGCAATACTTGTAGCATTTTCTTGGCCTCGTTGGACTCTGGCAGGGAAAAGGAGGCTTCAAGGCACAG